TACAAATGACCATGATTGTAAAATTAAGAATTAAATGATTTTTACGGCAAATTCAGGCATTAATTGTCCTTTTTTTTTTTTAATGTTTTTATTTATTTTGTGAGAGAGAGAGAGAGCTCATGAACAGAGGAGGAGCAGAGAGAATCCCAAGTGGGCTCTGTGCTGTCAGCAGGGCAATAGGCAGGGCTTGAACTCACAAACCATGGGATTATGTACTGATCCTAAATTAAGACTCGGATGCTTAGCTGACTGAGCCACCCAGGTTCTCTTAATTGTCCTTTTTTTTTTTTTTAATATTTTTATTTATTTCTAGGAGAGAGAGAGCGTGAGCAGGGGAGGGTCAGAGAGAGAGGGAGTTACAGACTCTGAAATACAGAGCTCCAGGCTCTGAGCTGGCAGTCAGCACAGAGCCCGACACGGGGCTCGAACCCGTGAACCACGAGATCATGACCTAAGCGAAAGTCGGACGCTTAACCGACTAAGCCACCCAGGCACCCCTAATTGTCCTTTTAAATCCATTTAGAGAGTAACATAGAATTCTGTCTCTTAGTTCTAGAGTATGGGCAGTCAGGATAACCATGTGTCTCCATATTGGACAAGAAGGTATACTTTTCTCTTTGCCTTATGGTTTAATTTGCATAGTCAAATGTAGGTTGTTTGGTGATCTCCTGAGATCAAATTGAAAATATCAGGTTTGGATTTAGAACAACATTAGGTAATAGAAGACTCATCTTTCCCTAATGAGGTAATAAGGTAATGGAGGAAATGAAACATTTACAGAAATTATTATACAGACTGTGATTGTATCTCTCAAAAAGAGATACTGAAAAAGTACACTGGCCAGTCATAGGACAGAAGTTAGGGGGAAGGTATGTCCAGACTAGTTCTAAAGTAAAATGTAGCTCTTGACTTACTTCGTTTGTTTTCATAGTTTTTACTTAGGGGAGAGAAAGATCATTCAAAAATGCTTCATGGGAATCTGCATTGCTTTCTCCTAGACCATAGCTGCCTAAAGGAGACTAGTACTATTGGTTTCTCTTCCCTGCACCCCAGATTCTGTATTCTCCCTAACCTACATATTCAGTTTTATTTTGTCATTCCCCTTAATTGATTTTATCATGTCATTCCCCTTAATAACTCATGGATTATCCAGAAAAGCATTTCTCTTTTTCCCTGCAGAGCAGATCCTTAGGAATTTATGAAAGTTCGTGGAGGTTGATGAGAGAAAATAAAGAAATGTCAGGAAGAGACATATTTTGGGGAATTTTTGAAAAGTAGAAAGCAGATGAGAGGAGAAACAAGCTGGCCAGAACCAAGGCTGCTCTCCCTCCCTCTCTACAACTTACTTCTCTTGGAGGGTCCAACCAGTGCTCTAAAGGACAAAAAGATGATTAAGATGATTACTTCTATTTTTCCACAATAAAGTTTAGTTTTCCTTTTGGTTAGTTGCTTTTGAAGAGATATAGCTATTTAAATATCCTTTTACTCACCTCATTCTTTTTTTTTTAATAGTTTATTGTCAAGTTGGTTTCCGTATAACACCCAGTGCTCATCCCCACAAGTGCCCTCCTCCATGCCCATCACCCCCCTTCCCCTCTCCCCCAACCCCCATCAGCCCTCAGTTTGTTCTCAGCATTCAAGAGTCTCTCATGGTTTGCCTCCCTCCCTCAACCCAGCTATTTTCCCCTTCTTCTCCCCCACAGTCCTCCGTTAAGCTCCTCCTAATCCACCTATATGTGCAAACATATGGTAGCTCTCCTCTGCCTGACTTATTTCGCTCAGCATAACACCCTCAAGTTCCATCCATGCTGCTACACATGGCCAGATTTCCTTCTTTCTCATTGCCATATAGTATTCCATTGTATAGATAAACTATGTCTTCTTGATCCATTTGTCATTTGATGGACATTTAGGCTCTTTCATGTTTTGGCTATTGTTGAGAGTGCTGCTATGAACACTAGGGTACATGTGCCCCTGTGCATCAGCACTCCAGTATCCCTTGGTTAAATTCCTAACAGTGCTATTGCTGGGTCTTAGGGGAGTTCTACTGTTAATTTTTTGAGGAATCTCCACACTGTTTACCAGAGGGGCTGCACCAGTTTACATTCCCACCAACAGTGTAGGAGGGTGCCCGTTCTCCACATCCTTGCCAGCATCTAGAGTCTCCTGATTTGTTCATTTTAGCCACTCTGACCAGCGTGAGGTGGTATCTCAGTGTGGTTTTGATTTGTATTTCCCTGATGAGGAGGGATGCTGAGCATTGTTTCATGTGTCTGTTGGCCATCTGGATGTCCTCTTTGGAAAAGTGTCTGTTCATGTCTTCTGCCCATTTCTTCACTGGATTATTTGTTTTTTGGGTGTGGAGTTTGGTGAGTTCCTTATAGATCTTGGATACTAGCCCTTTATCTGATAGGTCATTTGCAACTATCTTTTCCCATTCCATCGGTTGCCTATTAGCTTTATGGATTGCTTCCTTTGCCGTGTAGAAGCTTTTTATCTTGATGAGGTCCCAAAGAGTTCATTTTTGCTCTTGATTCCCTTGCCTTTGGGGATGTGTCCAGTAAGAAGTTGCTGCAGTGGAGGTCAAGGAGGTTGTTTCCTGCTTTCTCCTCTAGAGTTTTGATGGTTTCCTGTCTCACATTTAGGTCCTTTATCCATTTTGAGTTTATTTTTGTGTATGGTTTTTACTCACCTCATTCTTACCCATTAGCTCTAATCTTCATTGATGATTCTTGCCTGAATCACAGATTACAATGATAGCATCCAGATAGCAGTTTTCTAATTTCATCATCCCTTCAAGCTGGCCCCTATGTCCCTGTCATTCCTTGGGAAGTCTCACTTTCTCATTCAGTAAGTCATTCCAGGATTCTCTGGACTGTCCGTGCCCCAATGTTTGATTCAGCCATTTTGTCACAAAGCTCTGGTTCCTTCTTTTTAACAAGGAATGGTGTTTAGAATCCAAGGTCTTGGTCAGCTAGATGTGCCCAGTAGCTCCCAAGCCTCTCATAGCTGATGCCAGGAAACGAGTATCTCTATCTACATGAATGTAGGAAATGTCATGTTTAGAAGCTTCATTTTTATCTCTGTGTTTAGAAACAAAACACAAAATTTGTTCAACTAGAGCAGTTGATTTTTATACACTAAATGTAAGAATTCCAAAAGTCATGAGTGTAGAATCATAAGACTATATTTCAGCCTACATAATAAGACATTTTTGTCTCCAAACCAAATATGGCATGCTCTTTAATGATTCGTTTGTCAACAAATCATGCTTTCTCTTATGTTATTTAAAGTAAATTGAATAACATGTATTAATAAATGAGGAAAATCTTGAAAAATTATAATGCAGTAGCCTATAATAGGGATGTGACGTAAGATATTTTTATTTATTTTCTTATTTATCCCATTATGCACAGGATGACAAAGTTTTTACCAACATTCTTAAAAAGAATTATGAATTACTCTGCAGAGTTAGTGAATTAAAAATTAATTAAATGTTGAATACCTTTACTTAGAGGATAAAGTCCCAGTTCCTTCTCCCAATGTGCAAAAACCTTGATGGTCTGACTCCCCACCTCCCTCCCCAGTCTCTCTCATCCTTCCCCCACTCAGGGCATCATCTGATCTGGGAATCTTGACTCCCCTCACAGTTCCTCTCGCACTGGCATGACTGGTATGCCCTTCCCCCATCAGTAATCTGCCTGGAAACATCTGCTATGTCTCTCAGTTCCAGGTCACATATCACCTGTTCTACAGAATCTTCCAGACAGAATTCATTCTTCCTGTTTTCATAAAGGCTCATGTATCCTAATTTCTTATCTCCGTATTCCTTAGTAGGTGTGTCTTCCTTTACACAGCGACTTTTTCTTCCTTATATCTCAACACAACACAGTATCAGGCATTTGATAAATGCATAAATATTTTATTGGTTTCAGGATTATCAACTTTGATTATTTTTAAAATGTCAATTCTGGCAGTACCTCTTAAATCCTTTTCTAGTTAGATAACTTTCTTTGCATAAAAAAAAATAAATTTTAGTTATGCTAAACCTGTTGCTAGATTTCTAGAGATGGGATAAAGGTTTCAAACTTCAAGATACGTCATGTGTGCTACACCTTTCAGTAGGCTATACTAGCTCTTCACTCACGCACATCAGTCATGTTCATGGGAGACGGTAGAGCTACCACTTCTACCAGAGCACATGGGCAAATAATGTTATGGTACAATTAATAAGGTGGAAAAGTCAAACTCAAAAGACCCATCTAGGGGTGCCTGGGTGGCTCAGTCTGTTAAGCGTCCGACTTCGGCTCAGGTCATGATCTCACAGCTTGTGGGTTTGAGCCCCGCATCAGGCTCTGTGCTGACAGCTAGCTCAGAGCCTGAAGACTATTTCAGATTCTGTGTCTCCCTCTCTCCGACCCTCCCCTGCTCACGATGTCTCTCTCTCTCTCTCTCAGAAATAAATAAAACACTAAAAAAATTAAAAAAAAAAAAAAAAAGACCCATCTAATGGTGCTGGTGACATTTAGAAAGCAGTGCACGTGGCTAAAGGAACTTGCAAACACCACACTGTGGGTTCTAGTTGGGTAGAGTCCAACACCTTCCTCTAGTTTAATCTTCATCATTAGTGCCCTGAGCTCTCAGTGCTTATTACTCCACTGTATCTCTATCCAAGGTCCCCAGTGGCCAGACCTTACCAGTACAGTTGGTTTTTGTTTTTGTTACCCCAGAGTCTCCAAAAATACCTGTTTAGTTCCCTGGGGCTCACCTCCTTTCCTCCACGTTACCACATGCCCTGTTGAAGTCCACTCTGCTACTCTGGGCTGTACTCCACTCTCTCTCTCCACTTGGTGTTTAGCTTGTAGTTTGGTAAAGACTTGGTTGGAAACTCCATTTAGCACTGGGGCTGCTCTACAGTAGGGCTTATGACTTTCAGTACTAGAAGTGTTGGCATTCTAGTCAGTATAACAAAGTATATATGTCTGTTTTTTTCTTTCTAGATCCTGGTTAGATAGCAATGGGAAAAGTGCAGTTAAAAAGTTGAAGAACAGTTTGCCACTTAGAAAAGAACTAGATCGCTTAAAAGACGACCTGTCCCATCAGCTGCAGCTCTCAGACATCAGGTAACAAAGAACCTAATTTGGAGTAAGCATGTGTTTATCTATTGGTCAAGCTCTCCAGCAGTTAGATAGTTGCATCTTTGACTTTAATTATTCTTGTTAATAAAAAGTGTTCAATTATCTTTTTCTGAAATTATCAAATGTTCATCTGTGTAAGAAAACAATGATCCATTTCTTGTTTAAAACCGTGAACTAAAGCTTAGATACTAACATTTTTAGCATAGCAGTTTAAGTTTTTAAAGTAATGTTTATAAGAAAAATATATTCCATATGTATATAATATATAAAAGATAATTATTCCTCCATCATGTGAGATTAGTATCCAAGTTTAAAATGAAGGGAGAGAGAAAATGGGTGTTGTATTCTTGGCTCCATGTTTTATAACATGTTTTTATATATATATGATTTTTTTTTTGAGAGAGAGAAAGAGCATGTACTAGCAGGGAAAGGGCAGAGAGAGAGAGAGAATCTTAAAGCAGACTCCATGCCTAGCACAGACCCCAATGTGGGGTTCAATCTCATAATCCTGAGATCGTGGCCTGAGCTTAAAGCAAGAGTTGAACACTTAACTGACTGAGCCACCCAGGAACCCCAATAAGACTTTTTTTTTTTTTTTTAACATCTATTTATTTTTGAGAGATAGAGAGCAACAGAGAACGAGCAGGGGAGTGGCAGAGAGAGAGGGAGACACCAAATCCAGAGCAGGCTCCAGGCTCTGAGCCGTCAGCACAGAGCCCAAGGCAGGGCTCGAACTGGCCAACCGCGAGATCATGACCTGAGCTGAAGTCAGACGCTTAATGGACTGAGCCACCCAGGCACCCCCCCAACATGACTTTTTAAAGAAGGTTCCATTAACCTGGAAATTGCAGTTACATAAAGATACATGTAGGCGATTATTATAAAAACAGATCTAACAGCTGTTAAAATGGTAAGGACAGGAAGGCAGGGCCTGGTGTGACTCGGTCCCCAGGCCTCACATTACAAGAGCTCTGAGATGCTGTCATGCTTGGACATTGCCATTACTGTTCGCTGTAACCTGCTCTGTTGTTTTCAGCCCTCATTATCAGGATATTTTTTCTTCTTTTGAACTAAAATGACTACTTGGGTACCATAATAACACCTTTTCCTTGTGCCTACCCAGTATTGAGAATATGTATATGTTCTGTTCTTACACATGCAGATCATAGTGGGTTTTTGTGGGGTTTTTTCAAATCATAGTTTTATAAGAGAATTCAGATTTCAAAGAAAACGAGTGGACTTGGGATATGTGGGATGTTTGGATTTGTGCTGATAGCTGCTCTTTTATCAGCATATCAATATTTTTAGGTCCTACTTTGTTTATAGAGCATTGTTCCGATTCCACAGTCTAGTAGCAAAGACTTTTCTAACTCACATCCAGATAACAAGATCTCTTTTAAAAGTTTGTAAAATAAATTTCTGTGCATAAAAGAACTTTTTCTAGTGCAAATTCTAAATGGGCTATCAAAGTGACTGGGATTAGGAAAACGAAAGAATTTTTTAAGGGATTTCTTAAACATAGAAACAAGCATTATGCTACAATATGGTGTAGAAATTTCTCAGCTTTGACTTTTTACCATGGTAAATATCAATAAATGGAAACCACATAAACAAAAGCTCTCTGGGTTCCCCATTTTTCAGAGTGCAAACGCATTCTGAGACCAGAACATTTGAGGACCGTGGGCGTAATGACTTTCCACTATTGGAAAATTACCCAAACCTCCGAAAGATGGAAACATTGTGACCAGTGACATTATTTCAGTCTGTGTGAAAAACCATTTCTTGATAAGAACTGTATTTAGTAGCTCTGTCACAGTGTTAATTTTCCTTGAAATTATGTCTTTTTTCAACTGTGGACTAAAGGAAAACTTTTGAAATCTGATTTAATCTTATCAGAAATGACATTCCTCAGAATCAGTGGTAGGCTGAAGAAGGAACTTAAGGGTTTTGAGAATGTGTTTTGAGTGCCTTACTCCTTCACATGCATGCTCCCTGTGATTTATGCTGCCTGTGCTGGAGGAAGTGATCCCACTTTGCATGTATGGGAAGGAAACTTTAGGAGGGCCAGTGGCAGCTTGTTCAAGGTCACAGAGCTAGTAAATCACGGAATTAGAATTCAAAGGTGGGTGTTCTGATACTGCTAAGACCCATGTTCCTTACATTTGCACCCTTGTGCCTCTGTGACGACATGTGAGCATCCGGTTCCGTTTTGTCACTAAGATTTAGTGTTCATTTATAAAACAAGTAGATTACATGTCATAAAAATCACCTAATCTAGAATAAGATAAAAAGAATCTGATAAGCCTCACTGGAATACCTAAATCCCAAGGCCCCCAGGTGGGGGGCCTGAATTTGGCTCAGGTCATGATCTCATGGAGCATGAGTTCAAGCCCCACATCGGGCTCTGCACTGACTGTAAGGAGCCTGCCTAGGATTCCCTCTCTTCCTCTCTCTGCCCCTCCCCTACTTGTGCTCTCTCACTCTCAAATAAATAAATAAACAAGTAAATAAATAGAACTTAAATCTAAAACAGAATCATCATCATTGAATGACGTAGAGATGGAAAAGATTTTTTAAGTGTTTCCTATTTCATTCTCTTCTTTCTCTTCCTTTTTTCTTTTTTTAAACTTTAATTATTTTGAGAGCGAGAATGACCCATGACCTGTGCTGAAACAAGAGTCTGATCCTTAACAAACTGAGCCATCCAGGGGCCCCTTGTTCCCATATTTTAAAAGAGAAAACAGCATAGTATGTTTGCTAGTGTTATTTATTTATTTGTTTCTTTATTTAATTTTAAAGAAAGAGCAATAGGGGAGAGGCAGAGAGAGAGAGTCTTAAGTAGGCTCCGCAGTCAGTGCAGACCTAGACTCAGGGCTTGATCCCATGACCTTGGGATCATGACCTGAGCCAAAATCAAGAGTTGGACATTAACCGACTAAGCCACTCAGCTGCCCCTGTATTTGCTTGTTTTAAATCTTTGGATACCCGAACATAGCAGTAATATTTTTACCCGCTGGCCAAGCATTCATTTTCCATTTGGTTGCTTCATAAAAAAATGAGCTAGTTGAAAAAAATGCCAACTTGAAAAAGGCATTCACAGGGTTTAAGCGGCTGGGGCGCACACACACCCTTCCCTCAGGGGTGCCCGCTGTTAACATGCCTCTGCTTTGGTGTCCTAGGTGGCAGAGGAGCTGGGGCGTCGCCCATCGCTGTAGCCAACTTCACAGCTTGGGCCGCCTAGCACAGCAGAACTTGGAGACACTTAAAAATGCAAAAGGTACACAATTTCCATTTTCTGTTCAAATATCACACAGCTGTTATCTACCTCTGAAAATTGTGGAGGAAAACTAAGGATTAAGAATCCTTACAGATATGACCTTATCACAGCTGAATTTTTAAATCTGTTCCTTTGAATAATTTGTCTTTAAGCTTCTACTGAATTTAATCCTGAATTTGTACACTAAATTTAAGTAATTATTTGCACAGTGATGAATGAAGCCTCTCTGGACAGTGACCAAAGGGTTTGTGTTTTTATCATCAGGATGTACAATAATATTTACAGACCGCTCCGGGATGAGTGCAGTGGGCCATGTGATGCTAGGAACAATGGATGTCCATCATCACTGGACAAAAGTAAGGAAGAGTTTACAAGCAGAAGACTCTCTGATTTGTTACCAACATACTTTTGTCTCAAACTATGCTGTTATGTCAATGAACTAAAAAAAAAACTTGAAACACAGTTTCAGCAGTTTTCAGATTAGATGTTTACTATTATGTAGTTAAAATACTTACAGGCCTGATTTTTAAGTCAGTTTTTATTTGGAAGTTTTGTAGTCTTTTCTGAGGTACAGCCTAAAAGGTTTGCATTCTGCTGTTTTAACAGATTCGTTGTGTTATAATTGACATACGATAAATTGCACAGGTTGCATATTATTTGATGAGATTTAACAGGTGTAAATAGCCATTAACCACAATCAACATGGTGAACACATCCATCATCCACAGAAGTGTACTCAGGTCCCACCCTCTCCGCAGACAACCACGGCATGCTCTCCATCACTGTAGATCAGTGTATATTACTAGAGTTTTCTATAAGTGGAATCACAAAGTATATACTTCTTTTTTTGGGGGGTTCTGTTTTCTTTCAGTAACAATTTTTCTCAGATTCATGCATGCTGTTGCATGTATCAGGGATTTATTCCTTTTTATTGCCATGTCGTGAGTATCCCATCATATAAATCTACCACAGTTTGTTTATCCAGTTACCTACTGATGGATATTGACTTGTGTCAGATGGGCTGTTGGAAATAAAGCTGCTAGGAGCATTCGTCCACAGATGTTCATGTGCACATGTATCTCCCTTTCTCCTGAAAGTGGAATAGTTGGATCATATGTTAGGGGATTTTACCTTTTAAGAAATTGCTACCACTTGTGATGGTTTTCTTTTTAATTTTAGCAATTCTACTAGCTGTAGGGTTCGCTCTCATGTGGGTTTCCTTTGCATTTCCCTAATGACCCATGACGGAGAGCATCTTTTCATGTGCTTATCTGCCATCCACGCACCTTCCTTTGTGAAGGGTATATTCAAATCAAAAATTTGGTAGAAAATATGTGCAAGCCATGTATGTGACAGAGTCTGTGTATCTAATGTATAAAGAACTCTGAAACTCAACAGCCAAAAAAAGCAAAAGACATGAACAGATTTGTCACAGAAGATGACCTACAGATGACACATTTTTTTGAGTGGCTAAAATGAAAAAAAAGCGATGCCACCAAATTCTGGCAAGGGTACAGGAAAACTGGATCACTCCCCTGTCACTGGTGGGGTGTAGAGTGCTACAGGCAGTCTGGTAAAGAGTGCGATGGTACACACCTGAACAAGGGTGACCATAGGACCCAGCAGTTACACCCTTGGCCATTTGTACCAGAGGAGTGAAAAATTGTGTTCCCACAAAAACCTATACACAGATGTTCATAATAGCCAACAACTAGAAAACCTCTAGTGTCCTTCAGTGTGTGAATGTTTAAACTGTGACACATCCACGCAACAGAATATGAGCCAACAAAAAGAGGGAGTGAAATACTGACACCAGCCCCAACTTGGGTGGATCAGCACAAGACATTGTGCTGAGTGGAAAAAGCCAGTATCAGAAGATCACATACCAAGTGATTCCACTTCCGTAATATTCTTAAAGTAAAATTGTAGGAAGAACAGATCAGTGGTTCCCAGGGCCACAAAGGATCCCTAGGGCGGATCTGTTCTATATCTTGACCGTGATCATGGTAGGTTAGTCTACACATGGGATAAAATTGCACAGTTAAATACACACACCCCATAAACACACACACACACACGCACACACACATGTGTAAATTAACCCAGTAAAATCTGAATAAGGTCAGTAGATTATTATCAATGTCAGTTTCCCAGTTGTGATATTATACTGCAGTTTTGTAAAATGTTACCATTGGGGAAACGGTGAAATATGTATGAATCTACAATTATCTGAAAATTAAAAGGTAGTTACCATTCATACATAGATAACTCATTAAGAGAAAAAAATGAAAAAAGTGTATAGGGAAATTATCTTCACAAAGTGTTGGATATATTTTTATATATAATGTATTATATATTATGTATAGTATTTATTATATATTATTATATTTATCATAAATAACTTCTATACCGCTACAACTTGTAACAGAGTTTTTGAGGCCTTTCAACTCCTCTGTAAGCTGTACATCACCAGCTCTTTACATAAAGTCTGAGTCCCGAGTGCAGCACACAAGGGCCTTCCCCAATCCAGCCGTACCTGCGTCGTCAGCCATGTCCTTTCCACGTCAGCCTTGTGTGTTCCACATGCGGGCCATACTCCAGCCACGCCCGGCTCCAGAACTCAGAATGTGCCGCCCCCTCTCATGCTTCCATCTTTACACATGTTCTTCTTTCTTCCTCCAGAACACTTCCACGTGTATCCTAACTCTTGCTAAATACCATTTCTCTTTTAGCTCTCAGACTGGTCACAGATTTCCTTAGAAACCTTTGCTTGAACCTCTTCTCTGTATCCACTCATTCTTACGTGGCGCTTAGTACAAAGAAGCCTGGTTCTTGTTTTGTTTCCTTGAAAAGCAGGATGCACTTCTTATAATCTGTACAGTGCAGGTGCCCAGTTTAGTGCTTAAGTACATGGGACATGCTCAGTAATATTTACTGTATTGATTGAGCTTTGTTGGAATTAAAAGTAACATCTGAGGAAATACGCTTGGAGTGGAACTACATGTACTTTGTTTCTCAGACCCTTCTTTATTAGACCATATAATCATTCTAAATGAATTTGAGGTTCTTACCTGATTATTTAAATGTTAGTACTTAGGGCTTATTTTGATTTGGAACATATTTCATTTTTTCTGCAATCTCTTCAGTCCTATCTAAAAATTCCTAAGGTTTACTGTGGTTTGTTTTGAATGTTAGTATTTCCAGCCCTACGTTAAGTCTTATCACTTATTTGAGCTTTCCTTCTAGGAAAACAATTTTGTTGTTAGAATTTCTCAATGCCACTTACTGGAATCCTAAAATAGAGGTATTATAATAACATAAAACTAAGTGTTTCTTTCACTTTTTTAAATACTGTAGCTTTTTGAAAGATTACCAAGTTATTTTGACCTTCGGAGGAGGCTGATGCTCTTAGAAGACCAAATAAGCTATCTTCTAGGTGGCATACAAGTGGTTTATATCGAAGAATTGCAGCCAGTATTGACACTTGAGGAGTATTACTCGCTTCTTGACGTGTTCTATAATCAACTGCTGAAAAAGAGAATACCCTTTCACCCTCGAAGTCTGCGTGGTTTACAAATGATCCTTAACAGGTAAATATCTAAAATAAGAATTCGTTTTATTCTTTCACTTAAATGTGTATGTAGGTAGATCAAATGGTTTTGTGTTTCAGTGTGTGGTTCTTAGGAACTAAAGAAAGAGCGTTGCTGTTAGCAACACTCTTTACACATTAAAAAAACCGTCATGAGAGGACTGAAGGATCTAACCTCTAGAACATTTTTGAAACATGTTGCCACTTCAAGGCAAAGTTGATCCTATGGAAAACCTTATAGCGTTAAACTAATGTTGAATCAACAGCCCATATTTTTTGTGCATACTCTGTTTTCATAGCCTGGGCTTGGTGTTTAAATGCACTCCTCCCCATGAAGGGGGTTCTGCCTCCATTTACAGTTGAGGGTGACCATTCGGCGAGGAAGAATGTGCTTCTCCTGAAAGTGTGTCTCTTTGGGGACAGCAAAGTATAAGTTTGCTATACTGTTAAAATGGATTTTCTTGAAAAATTCTGTTAGCACTAATCAGACCAATAAAATATTTGTTCTGGGGGCAGTGTGGGGGACGAGAGATCAGCGATTTTTCCTTTTATGTGTATTTCATTACAGTGACAGATACGCTCCAAGCTTGCATGAACTCGGGCACTTTAATGTCCCAAGCCTCTGTGACCCAGCAAACCTCCAGTGGTTTATTCTCACCAAAGCCCAACAGGCAAGAGACAACATGAAAAGAAAAGAAGAGTAAGTGCTATGAGCCCTCTGTCACAGCCTGCCCGTCAGTCTGTTAAAAATGCAGGGGAACCTGGGTGTCTCAGTCGGTTAGGCATCCGACTTCAGCTCAGGTCATGATCTCACAGTTGGTGAGTTCGAGCCCTCCACCCGGCTCCTGCCGTCAGCACAGAGCCTGCTTTGGATCCTCTGTCCCCTTCTCTCTCTGTCCCTTCCCTGCTCGCGAGCTCTCTCAGTAATAAACATTAAAAAATAATAATAATGAGTAAATAAAAATGCAGGTATTCAAAATCATAAATGTGGGACATAAAAACTGCATTAACTTAGAAGATTGACTCGTTGGTGCATATTCTGTACTTATCCCCCACCTTATTCTGCCAGGAATTGCACCTGGTGTTTTCTGACACGAGTCTAAATGTTATCACCACCATGTGCCTCGATTCGAGAAGCAGGGCTTATTAATATAAAGGTCAACTCAGGAGCAGAACAAAGAGAAGAGTGTCGGAAAGAAAGATGACAGGCATGTGTACGGTTTAAAACTTTGAGAACTACTGATGCAGAGTCTGAGTTTAAGTAACTGAGAAGAGATGTTAAAGTAAAACGTTGTCGCCATGCATGCGCAGGCCTGTCCCTGTGTGGTTCGATCTGTGAAGGAATCCTAGCCAACAGTCCTGTTCTGTGGGCAGTGGATACTGCGTGGTACTGTTTCTACTGTGAAGAAAGGAGGATATTACATTCAAAACAGGGTGGTTTTTCTAAAGATGTTGGCAGAGGAGGTTTGGATGCGGAGCGGGCATCTGCCAGGGCTGCAGTGTGCCCGGGGCCCTCCGCTCCCTGCCGCCCGGGAGTGTTTCCGGGGGCAGGTGCGCGTGCCGGGCAGCGGGGCGCAGCGGGGACACGCAGGCTCGCGCTCCCGGCAGGCACCGGGGCACGGAAGGGGGCGCGGTGGCCCCGAGAAGCGGCTGCGCGTGGGGGGGGGACACGAGGGGACCGAGACTGGCGCCCCGAAGGGAGAGGGTCTGAGGGGACCACCGAGCGGTGCACCACATCCCTCCTGCCTTGCGGCCTGCGCGCCCCTCCGTCCCTGCCGATGGCTCGTCCGGAAGGGAGAGCGGTGGCCGCCCGAGGAGGCCACGCCCGTCATATTGGCGAGAAACGACGGGATGGGTTTGTGTGTAAAGGAAGTGAAGAGGCTACGCCTCTCTGGTGGCCCGTGGGGCTGGTGACGGCTCGTGGGCACGAGGACCCTCCCGGGCCGGTTGGTGACCTCCCGTGGTGGAGATGCCGCTCTTCTCTCTGGTGGGCCGGCCTGAACCCTCGGGAGCAGCCCTGCCCCTCCCCCCACCCCCCATCCCCGTCCTCATCGTTAGGGCTGACGCCTCTGTTGGCGGAGCTGTTCTGTTTTCTCGTGGCCTCTGTGTAGGATCCGTGTGTTGCTGCTGGATTTCGAGGAAGTCAGAGAGATGCAGGTCACGCGGGTTGGCTTTTGAAAGTTCCTTCCTGTCAGTCAGGTGAATGCCGTGCCTTCTCACAGCAGCCAGAGTGAGTTCCTCTGCGAGAAGCGCGCTCGCTTCGCCCCAGCTGGACGGGAGCGCCTTTCCCAGTCCCCCCGATTTGCCCTTCACCCCCCCGCGGCTCCCCCTCCTCATCCCCCGTCCGCCTTGCTCCCTCACACTCGCCACCGTCGCCTCTGACGGGCTCGCGTCCGTATTTGCCCCTTGCCTGTGCGCCCAGGCGGAGTGTGAGCCGCAGGAGGGCAGACACTCTCCCTCCCTCCAGGGCCAGGGTCCGGGCGTGGCCCGCGGGGGCCTTCAGGGAGTTGATGGACCGAAGGCAGTGACGGCCCTTGCCTGAACCTTGCTCTGACCCTGGAGGCGTCAGCCCTGCTTCGGTGCCCATGGAGGGGAAGCCCGTTTGTTGCTGGTACACCTGCCCTCAGCCTTCCGCAGACCTGACCCCGGGCCCAGGGCTTCCCTCCGCCCCGCCCTCCCCCTCCCCTCCCCTCCCCTCCCCTTCTCTCTCTCTCTCTCTCCCCTCTGCCCCGCCCTCCCCTCCCCTTCTCTCTCTCTCTCTCTCTCTCTCTCATCTCCTCGCCCCAGCAGGGCTGTTTTGGGGTGGTTGAGACTACTGCCTTTCCTCACATGAGGGGTCTTCCTAGCCCACGGCTTCCACCTCTTAGCCGCACATCTCTGCAAAGTGCATTTCCAAGCAGAGATGCAGTCTGTAAAAAAAGATAAAAGCCCGCAGGCCTTCTGTCTGAAGAGGAAGGGAGCTGGGGGCCTCGGAGTCCCTCTGCACCCCCTTGCTGGGCGGTGTAAAGCCACTGTTCTAGGCTAACATCTAGGTCCCACGTGGCCTCCAGACTGCAGGACCCGTAGCCCCTGCCTCTTCATGTCGCGCAGCTGCCAGGCAGAAGGTGGGCACGGTGTGTGGAACCCCGACTTGGTCTGGAGGAGGTAGTAGGAAACTGCACAGCTCTTACCGAGGGTGGTCGTGAGCTGGGGTACCCGGGCCTCGCGGTAAACCAGCGTCCCACAGGCTGCCCTCACGCAGGGTCTCTGGTGATTCACTCATGTTTCCTCCTGCCCTGTGTCCCATACCACAGATGGTAATGTCACTTGGACACACTGAGAACAATCGAAGTGTACAGTAATAGAAGAATGTTTAAATAATTTTGATACCGACATGTAGGGGAAACAACCATTTAAAGAATGCTCACTGGGGCACCTGGGTGGCCCAGACAGTTGAGTGTCTGACTCTGGCTCAGGTTGTGATCTCACAGTTCGTGGGTTAGAACCTTGTGTCCGGCTCTGTGCTGACAGCTGGGAGCCTGGAGCCTGCCTGGGATTCTGTGTCTCCCTCTCTCTCTACCCCTCCCCTGCTCACACTCTGTCTCCCTCTCTCAAAGATAAATGAAGATCAAAAAAAGAATGTTCACTTACTCAACGACTATTTATTGAGGACTTAGGTGCCTAAACAGCCCCCGCGACATCAGTCACTAGGGCAATACAATGCAAACAGACACACATTCGATATCAAAGGCAGAGTAGTTAAGCTTTATTTTTTTTTTTAAAGTAAATATAATTTGTGTCAGGGGAAAGAAGGCTCATTTCCCCCTAGGAAATGTCTGGCCCGTTTCATAGCTTTAGAAGGTAAAGAATGTACCACCCACGTCAGTCTCTCTTGTTTGTGCGTCCCCTTTTCCTCTGTTGTTGAGCTATGAACAGAATAAAGCAAAGAAATTATAAGGAAATGAAAAATAATTTAGTCTACAGACTACAGAGGTACCCAAAAAGGGAAAGGCTGTTCCCCACTGCCTCCCTGGTGGAGGGGACAGCCCTGGAGAGGGCCTTAGCAAAGGCTGGCCTCAGTGGGCTTGAGTCTCCTCCCCAAGGTTGCCCCCAGATGGACTGCTGGGCCCCCCTGATTATGACGGCTGTGGTCTAGGGGTCAGGACAACCCAGGGATGAGATCAGAGGCTTCTCTTAGAAGGATCGGGAATACATGGCCTTGCCCAGAGATGTGTATAAACATGTGTGCCTGGGAAACCACACAGGAACTCGGCCACAATGCAAAGCTCCCATTTCAAGCCAGATTGTTAATAATACCCCTTTTTTTTTTTTTTTTTTTTAAGCAAGTGAAAAAAGCCCTTTATAGAAAAAGTTTGTCAGTCCCTGCTATTGATGGTACCTACGGTTCTTCCTGTCTAATCCTGGAAGGAGTGGGCACAAGGCCACCTGGAACATTCTGAGAACCTGTCAACACTAACTGCTCTCCAACTCCTTGAATCGCTAAGCAGCATTGTCTAGAATCTTCTAGAAAAAAAACTAGCAGCACCTGAGAATGTGTTCTGGGTTTTGTTGAAGGGAGCGAGTCTGTGATTACAGACTCCTGCTACTAAGAGCTGGTGACTGCAGGGCCTTGTCTGTCTGCATATATTTGTCTAGGCTTACAGACACTTAATGCTACTTCTCTCCTTCATGCAGAGATTAAAAGTGGGAAAATAGAGGGCATGTGGGTATTTGTAGCCAGCGCTTAACTTCAATTAGACTTCTTCAGAAACCCTTAACACTGGCAACTTCCCCTGGGCTTCCCAGGCGGTACACACACTGTTCCACACACCCCTGGAGGGCATGGCAAGGCGGAGGCCTCTCTCACTCATCCTGAGCTTTGGAGGATCGAATCTATTTACTAAAACATATCCATAGGGGCAGCTGAGTGGCTCAGTTGGTTGTCCGACCTTGGCTCAGGTCAGGATCTCATGGCTGGTGAGTTCGAGCCCCATGTTGGGCCCTGTGCTCACACCTTGAAGCCTAGAACCTGCTTCAGATTCTGTCTCTCTGTCTCTGTCTCTGTCTCTCTCTCTCTCTCTCAAAATAAACAAAGATTAAAACATCCGTAAACATTGACCACCTGTGGGATAATGTATTTAAGACACCAAGTTCTGCCCCCGAGTTGTCTGCTTCACTCAGGCCCTTGATGGAAGAGGCCCTGTAGCCTGTAGGAAGGGGAAGGGGAGGGAGCAGAAAGGGAGCTGCCGGTTGGGAAGGGAGTGGAGCCAGCCCCTCCTCCTCAGGGGGCCAGCTTGGGTATTTGGTAATTTCCAGGAGTCATTCCTGTCCAAGGGTCCAAGTACAGGTGGTTCCTAAAAGTAAGGCTTTTACACCCTGCATTCTGCTTCTCTGGTCACTGACAGCGGCTCAGTGAGGCAAGATTAGAACTTTTAAATTATGCACTATTTTTACCCATTGCTGCTAAAAAGATTTAACAAACACTTTCAGAGATACATGCGCAGTAACTATTGGCATGTCTTGTGAGCGTGTAATTTGCCCCTTGTGGGCAACACCATTTTCAGTGTGGAGAGTAGAAAGTTAGAACCCTGATGTGTAAAATTCGATCTATACTTTGTTATTTTATTTGGTGATAGCTTGTAGCAATATTATGTTTATTTTCAATATAACAGGTTAAAGGTTATTGAAAATGAATTGATAGAGGCTTCGACGAAGAAATTTTCTCTGGAAAAGTTTTATAAGGAGCCCAGTGTTTCTAGTATACAAATGGTGGATTGTTGTAAGAGACTTCTAGAACAGTCACTGCCTTACCTCCGAGGGATGCACCTGTGCATTTCACATTTTTATTCTGTCATGCAAGACGGGGACGTTTGTATTCCTTGGAACTGGAAGGATGGAGAAGCCGTTAAGTAACACAGGAAGCTGCATTATTTTTTGAAGAGACAAGAGACCGTTAAGCTTATTTAAATCCACAATTTAATATAACAGTATTATTTACATATTATAAGAACAAAGTTTCTAACTGCTGCTCTAAAAGTAGACCTTTTCTAAAATTAATTTCTGCTGCAAAACTTGTTTCAAAAGGTTTTCTCTCCCAGTCTTTACGGTGTTTCCTGTCTGATTGGCAAGACTGGGAACAAAGCTGTCTGTATATGGGAACCTACTGTGTGGTATGTAAGTGAGGGCCCTGCGGACCTGAGTATATGTACTCGTATGTGCGGGAACGTGGGGAAGCGTGACCGGGCCTCATTTAGTGCAGCTCCGAAGTGATGGGACTCCGTCAACACACAGCTTTGTAGCTGCATCTCTTGGGCGGATACGAACTCGCATTTTGCAGCCAGCAAGGGACAGCTGCATCCAAAACAGAAGACTGACGGTCGGCAAAAATTAGATAACCAGATTTTTCCTGAATGTATGTATGGTATTGACATTGACCTCAGCAGTCTGATACCAGTTTGTTAAAACATCTTAGTGACAGAAAATTTAGGTGAGTTTTCCTGCCCATTAATACGTCACAACTGCTGGTAGCGTGACACAACACAGTGAAGGCCTTTGGATCAGTGAGGGGACTCGAGTTTTTTGCGGCCACACTATCTGGAGAAACCCTTGTTTGTGTCCCACAGACTCCAGCAAGTAGAGTCAAGTGTGAAATGGCCCAGGCCGTAAGGGACTGTCACCCCCTCAAGCCCGGTCTTCCTGTTCCTGCTGGTGTTTCTCACGCGGGGTAAAGCCCCTCGCAGCCACACATGTGCGGACACAACACAGCCCGGCCCTGAGGGCCACGGGGAGCCCGCTCTGGAAACACGGGGCTTCTCTCTCTGCAGTTCTTTGCCTTCAGATAACGTATTTCACCAGATCCAAAACCTCTTCCGCTTGCTTCTCAGGACATAAGGGGAATCTAGTTTGGGACACCGTGTTTGTGGCTCCTCCTGCTTGCTGAAGAAACGAGAAAGGAATTTTCTCCCCACGGTGCCTCAGAAAGGGAAGGAGCTGCTTACCATTCTTAAAGTATATTTCAAATTCATCTAAAACACCGATTGTTTAAACTGTTTAAATTCAAATGTGTGTTTGAATTTAAAAGAACTGATGTGTAATCTTTATAGTTTGCGCATATCATCCCTGTGAACGTTCAGTAGCAACTTTACTGGTTTTTTTCTTCCCTAATGTAAAAATGTTGCCTATAAAGATTTTCCAGAGCCAAATGATGGGGGTGAAAAATTCCTTCCTTAAAAGTCATGTAAGAAAATTTATTGAAAAATAGTTTTGAATTATGCCATTTCTAAAATCAACTAATATAGAATCCTCAGTAATGTGTTTTGAATTGGACTCTGAGAACTGATTGTTAATAAATAATCCATTAATCAGATTATTGTTCTTCTTATTCAGTTGTTCATGGCATTACAACTCTTATGACGTAAGAAATTACAAGAGATTGATGGCCTCACTTACATCAAAAGCCACATCAGTCTGCAGGACAGGTCTCCCCAAGCCCCACTTCCTCCTTCATTTCTTAAAGACCTCTACCTCCAGGCAGCCCCCCGAGCTAATGAGAGAGTGGGGGGGGCACTGAAATGGGCAGGTGGAGCAAGAGAGGCCAGGGCTGCGTCTGGAGTCAGTCTCCTCTAGAACCTGCGAGGACTCTGCACATCCCAGGCAGAGGCCCCTGAGGGGAACCCCGGCGGCTCCGGCCACTGTCCCGGCACCCGTGTTCCTCCCTCCCCCCTAATCCAGCCTCACCACCCCACCCCACCCGCCCTGGCGGGGCCTGGCTGTGCTTCCCCGGAGTGAGCCCGTTAGACCAGATCAGCCCCGTGGGGGACGGCGGCGCCGAGGCTCTGGGCGCCTCTGCGGAGGAGCTGTGGCCCTGGTGCCCTTCCACCACCCGCCCCAGAGCGGGGAGCCCAAGCTCCCGGGAGGCTGGCGCCCACACCCAGGGTGCAGGAACCACTGACGCGTTGGCTGAGGCCTGGCAGCTCGCTGGCCCCAAGGGGCCGCCTCCCTGTGCCAAGACTGCCCGTGACCTGTGCCACCTGCCACAGATCCCCACCAGGAGCCCTGGGACCCGGAACGGTCGCTGCAGGTGCCTGTTCCGTAAGAAGCGACTGAATCCAGGGCACCTTGGTAGGACTCCCTGCACGGAGCGGCCCTGGGCAAGGCCTCACCCGGCCTCAGTTTCCCCATCTCTAAAAGCAGACACCAGATCATGCTCTTGGAAGTTCCTCCCGCCCTCAGGGAGTCTGCCCCAGGAATGCAGAGCCCCCCATGGATGGTCCTCGGCCGCCAGTCCAGGTTCCCCTCGCTCCTAAGGACGAGGAGGGGGATGTGGGGCAGCAGGTGGCCAGACGGATCAGACCTGAGTCAGGGCCACGGGACCCTCTCGTTCCCTGCACTCCCTGCCTCTTGCCAGCTCAGGCCACCGGTCACTCGAAACCCTTCCCTCGGGGGGGGTGGGGGGGACATACCTGTTACGAAGCATCACAGCAATTTTCCCGCCAAGCTGATGCACGTTGCATGTGAGGAAACACCCAAAATAGGAGACATGCCCGAGGCCCTTCTCCCTGCGGCAGACAAGGCCTGGAGCCCAGATGTCCCAGGGGCTGTGAGGGGTCCGGGCAGGCAGCGGACCTGCCTCTTTACCAAATGAGTAAAATTAAAAGTTGGGTTTCTGATGGCTAATGTGTCAACCTGACTAGGCCCCAGATGTTCGCTAAACATTATTTCTGGATGTGTTGTGAAAGTGTTTCTGGATGAGATTAACATTTGAATCCCTAGACTGAGTAAAGCAGTCTGCCTTCCCCATTGTGGGTGGGCTTCATCTAATCAGTTGAAGCCCCAAATAAAATAAAAGTTCTACCTGACTCTCCTGGAGCTGGCACATTGGTCTCCTCCTGCCTTTGGCCTCTGACCTGGATGGCAGCCATACCATCGGCCTTCCTGGTGCTGTATTTCTCAGCCTTCATAATCATGTAAGCCAACTCCTTACAATAACTCTCCTAGTTATAAAACACACACACACTATATATATATATATATATATATATATATCTCGTATTGATTCTGTTTCTCTGAAGTACCCTAACACAGTCTCTCATGTAAGAGGACTAAGGCTCTTGCCATATTGCTTGAGTAGTAGAGAGGAGGAGAAATAAAATTTGAATAAGTGACAGCATACAGAGCAGAGAGAGAGAAACCTTTAGAACAGAACTAGAAGAGGCAGGAAGGCTACATCAAAGATAGAAAGTTGAGAATTCTCCAAAATTGATGAAAGACAGAAATACTCAGGGACTCCACTAAATCCCAAGTAAGATAACAAGTTACATAGTAGCAAAACCATGGAACACTAAAGATAAGCCTTTAGAAAGTAGCTAGAGAAGACAGATAACTGATGCCATCAATTATGATGGAGTTTTGTGGAATATCTTTAACATATGGAGAAAAACCAGCCACCAGCTGAGATTTGTAGGCTCAGCTAATCAAGAATTAGGGAAATATAAAGATTTTCAAGGTGACCACAATCAGACCTAAAGAAATGCCTCAAACAGTGTTTTTTAACTTCAGCACTCCTGACATATTGTACCAGATGATTCCTCCAGGGTGTGGGAGGTGGAGCGGGGCTGGGGGGTGGGGAGAGAAGGCAGTGTGTTGTGGATTGTAGAATACTTAGCAGTACCCTGCCCTCTATCCACTAGCTGTCACCCTCTTCCCAGTTGTCTCCAGACATTGCCAATGTCCCCTTGCAGAGAAGCGCTGGTCTAAAGGCGGGGAAATGATGCCGGAGGAAACTATAACAAAGACGTCCATTCTATTCTCCACTTTTCCCTAATACTAGAAACCCTAGCATTTAGCGTGGCAGAGATGGGAAGCTGGTGCTTCAAGTAAAATGTTCGGCCAGGTTGCAATCTGCTTTAATCTGGGGGTTAGAGCACAGTTTGACCACATGGATGGTATTTGGAAAATGGTAACAAGAATCCAGGATGGTGAATTTGTTGGCTTTTTTCCAGCTGCTTTTAGCCAAGTCTTGTAAGAAAGACAGTCTCTGGCCGGAATTATCCAGTATGCAAGGAGAGTTGTTAAGGACCCAGTATTATTAATGAAAGTAACTCCCAACTGTGGCCTGCCCTAACATGGACAGTTGAATAATTTGGTTCCTTGCACGTTTGAAAAAAATAACCACTCTGTACACTCAACCAAGACAGTTAGGGGCTGTGGCTATGAAGAGGCAGGCAGACTTTGCAAAAGATAACATTGGTGCTTTGAGTAAAGATGAGATTGTGTTGCTTTTTATAGCATATCTATAAAGATTTATACAATTTATAACAAAATATTGGCAAATGTGAAGAAATCTGGCAAAATAAAGCATTAACAAGAAGAACCGTTACGATCTGGCGTTATTTCATAGTGGTGGACGTAGACATTCCCAGTGAGCTCGGCCAAAAAGTGGAAAGAGCCCAGTGTCTGGACATCAGTTATGTTATCATGCAGAATACCATAAAACAAACTAAAGCATAGTGACATGTAGTCACATGCATAAAATGTCAAACATAATTTTGAGCAAAAGATGCAAGAAGAAGTACTTTTTTACTCCATTTACGTAAGGTTAAAAACCGGGCAGAAGTAAATTGTATTTAAAGATGTCTACCTCAGTAGTCAACACTGTATAAAACAATAATAAAAATGTGCAGTTTGTGGAATAAAAACAAAACATTAGACAATAACATGGAAACTTATTATAAGTCTATATAAGCTGACCTGGAAGGAAGTCTATAACATATTGTCAGTGTTAAATGAAAAAGGGAAGTAGGAGAGATTTAAGGAGTTCTGTCTGAGCATCTAATAATTAATTTTTGCTCTCTAAAACTTTGTATAATAGCTACTCATTTTCAGTTTTTAATTTGATAAAAACAACTTAAAAAAGAAAAAATTAAAGATGGAAAGTGAGTAGAGATAGTGTTTCAAAGAAATTGAGGTAGAAATAATAACTTTATAAATGAATAGAAGTACAATGTAAGTATGTGTATAGTATGAAATGCATGATGTTTTCAGATAACAGAAATAGCATATAACTTCTACCATAGTATAGAGGGGAAAAGTTGAATTTAAAGGCTTCAATAAATTCAAAACAAAAGTAGAAAAAACATTTTCTATAAAGCAGGACAAATTAAAACACAAAAGCACAATAAGGTTGTAGAAACTGATGTGGTTTTGGAGTGGTGGTGGGCATCCGGAGCCAACACTGAGGAAGAATTCTTGAGATGTCTTTAGTGCAAAAAATGCGATTTTATTAAGGCATGGGCACAGAATCCATGGACAGAAAGAGCTGTGAGATTGTGAGGAGTGGTGATGATATACTTGGGAGTTGGGGGAGGTAAGGCAGCAGGAACTTTCCAGTGAGATTTCCATATGCTAAAGAAGCCTCACAGGATCCCTGAGGCCTGGCTATTGTGAAGCCAAGGTTGTTTTTCTCTCTAGCAAAGCATTAACATTAAGAAAGTGGGGAGTTCCTGGAGTATTGTCATACTCTGCCAGCCTCAAGTATTTGTCAATGAGCTGCAGGTTATAAGGAAATTTAATTTTATCTACCGTTTCCTTCTGCTTTGGTTTCCCACATCATTCCCCCCTGAACAATTTTGATCCTTAAATTTTAAGGTTGCTGAAAATGGAAGGAAGGTCTTATCTTCTGTAACGTCTTCCTGCTGAATAGGGGCATTGAAATGTCCCTACCTATGGGTCAACAGTGATCAGTTGAGGTATATGTAAGGCTGAGATAACAGAGGGTGATGAACCAAAGATAAAGGAGCCAAAGGGAAAGGACTGAACACACCTTTATTGTAAAGGGCTCTCGGTGAGGCTCCGCGCCTTGGGGGTAGAAGCAAGCCGGGGGAAGTCGCGCCCAGAGACTGGGGAGAGGGGTATATAGAGGACTGTAGCTCCGGGTCGAGGCCCGGCGAGGGCAGGTTTCCTTATTTGGTCTCGTTTTTTTTGGGTTTGGGTTTTGTTTCTGCTGAGGCGACACGTCTTTTGAGAAACCAGTGGCTGGAAACTGGGAGTGGGAAGCTGGTGGCGGGAATGTCCTGAGGCAGCCATAAGATGGAGTCTGATCTGCCATCTTGGTGTCTTTTTCCTGACCCGTCAGACCTGTCAGTATATATATATTTGTAGGAGTCACCAAAGGAAACAGCCGATTCAACATACTTGAACCTCCTTGAGTAGAAAGGCTCATCTGTCAGCTACAGGTTATGGTGGTGAAGAAGTCTTGGCACCAGGCAGGAAGAAACTGTAAAAGACAACAAAATAAGGTTAATATTATCATGAGAAAAAGAAGCCTGAGTAAAAGGCCTTAGATAGTTGACCAAAATTTTCCTCAAGTCCTTCACTGTCATTTGAAGAGAAATTTGAGGGCTTCCACGAGCTCACGGAATAAGAAGGCCTGTCATCTGGCACAGTAGTCTTGTGAGGAAGGAAATGTTTAATTCTTGATATAGGAGTCCACGAGGGACGTCCTTTGCAGTGGAGTACATTATACTGTTGCGGGATCTGGTCTGGATCACCCGGCGGAAGAACCAAGCGGCACTCGGGGATCTTGGAAGGGAGGAGGTTTATTTCACACGGGTGGGCTCAGAGGAGATCATTCTCCAGAACTCTGAGCCCAGAGCATCAGCAGAGGGAGTAATTTATAGCCTCTTACCTCTGCCTTCCTCATTAATGCAGGCGACAAGCAGGGTGGGAAGAAGAACCCGGAGGAGGGGGCCTTTGATCAGGGACAGGTATTTCTTTATCAGTCCTGTCGGCCATCTTAGAAAGGATTTTTCCCTATCATTCCCCCCTTTGATGCCCCTTTAAACAGATCTATTCTGTATTAGAGGGCATCATCTTTATTACGGTCTGTGTTTTTCCCCTTAGTTTCCTGACTGGTTTACAAGGTAAGAGCATTTTTTCTGAAGATACAGATGCCCTTTTTCTCGGCAGAGAAGTGGTCAAGTGCCTCTGCTCTGGGGGGCATTTCCTGCCAGGGAACTGATTTGGCTCTGTAGGGTCACTAGGGAGTCACCCAGTTTTAGTCCCACAGAACAGCCTATGCCTCCTATGCCAGTCCCTGTCCCCGTGGCTATTCCTGCCCCTAGGAGTACAGGTAGCTTGTTTAGCCTGAGCCTTAAGGCTAAAGGTTAATCTAAGCATTAACGTTTTGGTGAAAACACTTCCCCAAAATGGTATTAGCAACACTACTGGCAGGCAACCCAACAGACCGAAAGAGGTTACACCGTATTTAAGCTTTTAAACCCCTCAGGTTTTTTTTTTCACTGAAGGTGCCCTGGTCTTATAAATGGGGCCCAGATTAGTGGCAATCAGTACCAACAGAACATCTTATCCATAAGAGGAAGGTGAGTACAAACAGGAACTTTTGCTGTTTCCCCAGCTTTCTGGGGCAACCTTTGCCTATCGGATGTCAAAGAGTAAGGACCGTCTATTTTATCGGACGGGTGATTCCTCAAGCTTCTGCCGTGCACAGACCAGCCAGCTTCCAGAGTGTGCCTGGAGCAGGGATGAGGATAGGACTTGGGTCAGTCTTCCGGTTTGGGAGCCCTCAGGATTGGCCCTCTTGACCCTGGAGTGGTGGATTCACTGTATGGTCCAGTCCACTGTGGTTCGAGAGGGTCTTTTTCTAGTCTGTGACCTAGACTGAGTTCCCTGGGGAGAGGGAGTGTACAGGGGATCCTACAGAGATTGGGGCCCTCTCAGAAGGGAGAAGCCTTGAGTTCCTGGTGTGCAACGGACACACAGGAGGGCCAGGGGCCACAGGGCTGGCCACAGGAGGTCTGATTCCTGACAGAACTTGGCTAAGGTTCCCTTGATGGTGCGATTCACCTGCTCTACTTTCCCTGAGCTCTGAGGCCGGTAAGCAGTCCGCCAGCAACGCAGGCCTGTTAACGCTGTGGGTTGTGACTGGGAAGCAGAACCGGGGAACAATTTCTTCTTTGAAATCCTGGTCGCGGCACAGGTAAGGGAGGGAGCTACATCTACCTCCTTACTTGCTGCCATCTCGGCTGCTTTGTCTGCTAGACCATTTCCTCGTGCTGTAAGGTTGTCTCCCTTCTGGTATCCTTTGCAGTGGGGAACTGTAACTTCTTTTGGAAGCCAGACAGCCTCAGGGAGCTTTAGTATTTCCTCTTTGTAGATAGGCTCATGTATGTGTAGCAAAGGCGTACCGGGAGTCGAACTCTCTTGTCCTTGCTAAATATGAGGGCTCATATTAAGGCATGTCACTGCATACCCTGCCTTTTGAACGCCCTCTGTGATGAAACTGCCACCATCACCGAACCAGATGAGGTCTGGACTCTGTAGGGCCTGGCACCCAGATCTGGGCGGCTTGTGACTACTTCATCAGTCACCTCAGAACAGTCATGATCCGGTTTCCCTTCCTCAGTAGGTAGGAAAGTTGCAGGGTTCAGTGTCCACACTGTTTTAAGAGTGACCCATAGATTTTCGCAGAGGAGCCCCTGGTTTCCTTAATGAGCAGAACTGTGGCCACTAGTGCCCCAAGGCACGATGGCCATTCTGCCACCACTGGGTCCAGCCTCTTCGACAGGTATGTTACTACTGGCCATTGCCAAGGGCCAACTGTCTGTATGAGAACCTCAAGGGTGACCTTTTCTTTCTCATGCACAAATAAATTAAAAGGCTTTTCTATTTTCAGGAGAAGTGCTGGTCCCTGCCCCAAGGCAGTCTTTATCTCTAAGAAGGTGGCTTTGGCCTCTTCTGTCCAGACTGGGGGGGGGGGGGGGGGGGGGGGGGGGAGTTCTCATCTCATTCTGGCCCTATTACTCTCTTAACTTGGGAGAGGAGGAAGTCTAAGTATCAGACTTGCTGTTGGCTTTTTGCATGAGTGCCGATACCCTGAGTCTCACAGGAGTTGGAGGGGGACCCTTGTGCCCTCTGTACAATTTTCTCGGGTATTGCTGGCAAGGAGGAGGTCATCCACATACTGGAGAAGGGTCTGTGTGTGGCCTCCCTTGGAAAGCCGGCGAGGTCTCTGGCCAGTGCTTTCCCAAGAGGGCAGGTTTTTTAATGCCCTGTGTCTGGTTTGGTCCATTCAAAGGCAAACAAGGGTTGGATCTGGGGGGCCACGCAGTGGCAGAAGAAGGCATCCTTTAAGTCTTGGCAGGTAAACCAGCTGGCAGAGCCTGGGATCTGGCTGAGAAGGGTGTACAGGTTCGAGACCACCGGGTACAAGGCTTGAACTGGTCGGTAGCCCCCCTCCTGGCTTCTTAGATGGCAACAGCAGGGTGCTCCAGGGTGATTGGCATTCAACCAGAATGCTTGTGTTATGCCCAAATCTCGAGTCCCCAGAGACCTCCAAGGAGCCGGCACTGATGCAAGTACATAAGGGTCTTTATTACAAGCTCGAGCAGGGGCTCACCTGTCAACCGGCGCAGTGGCAGCAGGGTGAAGCCCCGAACAATAGCGAGCAGGGTTTTTATGGGGTAAGGGACGGGGGTGTTACAGTGCACACGTTGTACACATAGCATCATCACATAAGTACCAATCATAATTGTACAGCACCCATGGCAACAGTTTTGACCATTCAGTATCTGTGAGGTGTCCGTTACTTTTGGCGGGACCCAATCATGACTTTTGAGATTCCTTTGAAAATGACCAATTATGAGGTGAGCTCAAAGGGCCCACGTGGGGTTCAGGCAAGCGGTGAGTGATTGGATAGTTTGTACAAAGTAGTTATCTAGAGTCCCCAGACCCTGACTCAGACCACAGGAAAGTTTCTCCTATCTTTCTTAGCTTCTTTTGATTGGCTGACCCGAGGGTGGCCCGAGGGTGGCTTCAGCCGAAGTTTTTCCTGGAACTGGGGCTACGTGCAGCCCGAGGTTGCTCTTAATGGGGGCCTTCATCTCAAAATGGCGTTACTTAGGCTCTTCACTTGCTTTTTTGGATGCCTGCCCTTGCCTCTCGTGGGAGGCAATATTGCCGCTGTTTCTGTGGTTGAGCCCCTGGGATTAACTCCTCAATGACAGGGGTCTGGTTGTGGGCAAGTCCAGGGAGGTTGTCCTCAGCCCACACCGGGGGGGGAAGGCAGTTCTGAATTCAGGTGGGCCGCTTGGTTGGGCCTCGGCACAGAATAGTCCCCATTTGGATCCAGTTGGGGGCTGCTGCCTCCCATACTTGGGCCTCTAGCTTTGAGAGTATATCCTGGCCAAGAGGGTTAGGGCATTCATGTAGGTAGAGGAACTCATGCCATACGGTGTGGCCCCCGAGTTCACATATAAGTCGTAGTTGGGCCCCCTACTTTTTTCTGTGGGTTCATGGGGACCAGGAAGAAGTGAGCCTGGTTCCCCTCAATCTGAATCTATTCCTGCTAGGCTTATGAGGCCACCCCTCTCTCCCCTTTTTTTTTTTTTTTTTGCATGATTCTTGTGCATATCGGCTGGGTTTCTGGGACTTTTCCCAGTTGGGACATTTATTCTTTTAATGTCCTTTGTCCTTGCAGTAGGCTCATTGGCCACTTGCTAAGGAGGTCCTGGGCCTCCCCCCTTTTGCTGCTGGACCTTCCTGATTCTTTTGTCATGGCTCTCTTGTGCCTCAAGGTCAAACAGGATGTAAACCTTGCATAGCTTCTCATAATAATGGGGAGGAGGGATTCCTCTTGCTGCTGGGCATGTTCATGGGCCTCTTACCCTCCCCCCCTCCAATTCCCTGGAGGAAAGCCTCTTGGTATCAGCAGCTGTGGACTGCATCTGGAGAGTGCCTGCATCTGGCCAAGGGCATAGTCTGGCTGCTGGTCGGGAGAGAGAGGATCTGCCAAGTCCAGAGGTGCTGGGGAGACCAAACGTGGTGGAGTATCAGAAGCCAGGGGGTTCTTTTGGTGGGGGCAAGATTGGTTATTTCTCTGGATCACTGGCAAGAATTTGTGGCTGTTGACCTTCCTTGGGCCATTTTGTTGAGGCAACTAAGACCTAGTCTGTCCTTGTTTGTTGCAGGTAAATCGCACCCAAGGGAGCAGGGTTTGAGCAATCTCTAACAAGAGTCGATACAGGAACTGATCAGGGCAATCTGGGAATCTGGTGACAACATGCCAGATGCGGCGGATGGTTGGGTCACCTAAGGTTCACTCTGAGGGCCATCATCTGACACCAAAACTGGGCCATTCTAATTCACATAATTCCATAGACTCCCAAAAATCCTTCTCAAAGTTCTCATAGTTTCAGGAGCTGTGGGTTTGCTCTGTCCCAACCACAAATGTTCTTGTGAGGCGGTGTCGCAAAGTCAAAAGGGTAGGGGTGCCCCCTCTAACGAAGAGACCAGACAGATGCCCGTTTGGCCATGTCCCGAAGGAACTTGGGTGACGCTTAGCTGTAGAGGTCTCAGCTTTGTGACATACGATTGGAAACTATTCTGATGCCACCATAGACTGTATGCCATTCACCATAATCGCAGATGGGCCCACTCAGACTCTGTAGGATTTTGTGCCCACCCACGGAGCCACAGAATCGAACCCAGCAGGCAAGCCAGAGTGAGTCTCACATTCACACTCACATATACACCAGAGGCTATTAGATTCCCTCCCACAGAATTCCTACAGATGAGACCACTGGGGTCTCCGGGGAGTGATCAGCTCCCCCCTCCACCACTATGGGTGGGCAGGACAGGACAGATTTAGGGCTCAGGCCTTACCAGTTTCCAACATCGTTTCCAGGTCCTCACTTACCAAGTCTCCTTGAGTCCAGCGGGAACGGGCAGAGCGGGTCCAGCCCCAGGCGACCCAACTGGAGACTGCCAAAATTCAAGCAGGACAGGTCTTCTCCTTCACGATTCCTCATTCCTTCACCGCCTCACCGTTTCCCCAAACCGGTGGCAACAATGGGCCAGCGCGGTTGGGTTTCCCAGTCAGGGAACCAAAATGTTGCGGCATCTGGTCTGGATCACCCAGCGGAAGAACCAAGTGGCACTTGGAGATCTTGGAAGGGAGGTTTATTTTATTTATTTATTTTTATTTCTGAGAGAGATACAGCGTGAGCAGGGGAGGGTCAGAGAGAGAGAGGGAGACACAGAATCTGAACCAGGCTCCAGGTTCTGAGCTAGCCGTCAGCACAGAACCCAACGCGGGGGCTCAAACCCACGAACCCTGAGATGATAACCTGAGCCGAAGTCAGATGCTTAACTGACTGAGCCACTCAAACACCCCAAGAGGTTTATTTTACACCGGTGGGCTCAGAGGAGATCATTCTCCAGAGGTCTGAGCCCAGAGCATCAGCAGAGGTAATAATTTATAGCCTGTGTTGTGGGTTAACTTCAAGCACGGTTAAATACTAACATGCTATTTCTGCTTCTGTAAATCCGCTTGGCAAGCTTGTACTTCCCTGCTCTGGTTGACCACACCCACACCCTGTACGCAAGGTTACAGAACACCACGTCACCATTTTACCCTGGTTGTCTTTCACGTAGTCACTACCCCATGGCTTCTCAAATGTCTAATTACAGTTGGTCATTTCAAGACAAAGAACTTAAAATTGATAGGTCTCTGCCAAAACTAACACCTGAGCGTCACAATGCAATCGGTAACCATGGTGTGCTGTAAAATGTAACTGGTTAACTAAATAATGACGAATTCTGCCTAGCTGAGATCCATATAAGCTCACTGCCACTTTTGTTTGGGGCCATTCTCTGCATTTCTCATGAGATCAGGAAATCAGGTTTGGCCCCGGTGGTGAATAAAATCTTGCCTCACTTCTATTGGGTATTTGGTGGTCTCTTCGACAATCATCCTGCTTCCCCCTGTTACTTACTTCCGCATTCCTCATTAATGTATGCAACAAGCAGGGTGGGAAGAAGAACCCGGAAGAGGGAGCCTTTGATCAGAGACAGGTATTTCCTTATCAGTCCTGTCGGCCATCTTATAACAGATTTTTCCCTCATTATGACCCAGTAGGGGCCCTGCCATTTTGCAATTCAATCCCCCGCTGTGTTAGACTTCCAGTCCTTTAAATAAACCTGATCTCCTGAGTTTACATGGGGTGGGTTACTAGTAACTATCAGATCAGATTTAGGGAGGACAGGGTTTGCATATCTGTTAACAGCAAATACTCCATGTCCAAGAAGGGACAAGCGACATGCACTCCGGGAATCAGAAAAGGCTGTTTATTTCGCACCCGCGCTGGCCCAGCAGAGTCATCTCCAGAGGCTGAGCATCAGGCTCAGGTTTTACTGCTCTTTTATACATACGTGCTTCTGGGCTGGGCAGGGCTAGTACAGTCGAGCTTTGGGGTCCTGGCTGTGGGCTGATACAAAAGACAAGCAAGTTTGCAGAAGCGAAAAGCATGTAGGGGAGTATCTGGCCTCCCACATCTTGGCTGGCCCTTTTTATCTGCTTTTTTACGGGCTGTCCTTCTCATATCCATTTAGAGGTTTATGAATTAACCTGGTCTCGTATAATAATTTAGCAGAGCATTATAGTCCCCATCTATTGCTAGGTCTACAAGTGAGAAAAGGCTTTTTGGAAGAGGATTAGAAACCTTAATTTGGAGAGCCATAGCCAAATCAAGACTAATTCATTTGTAAAACAAATCCAATTTTAACAAACTTGGCCTAATTATTTACATAAGCTTAGTAAGAACAGTGATTGATCTTTAAGATATTTGGTTCGCTGGAACTTTTTCATAAGGAATCTTTAGACTGAACATTGAACAGCCCCTTCGGGCCAGAAGTCAAGCCAAGTGTTTGGCATCACACAGGCCTGTAATACTTGTAGATTTGGGCAAATTCCTCTCATCAAGTTCCCCCAAATATCCTGAGGTTCGGCACCTGCCAGGAAGTGGCAATTTGAACTCACCTGGGGAGGCTGCTGGGAACTCTGTAAGCAGGTATCAGGCCAACAGTTCCAAGGAACTTTGATGGCTTCATGCTTCGTGGAGTCAACTTGAAGGAACTAGGTCATATGAGTCTATGTATGTCTCTTAGATATGACATCTCGGTCAAAGCCTTGGTAAAACAAACAGTATTTCCAATGGTGTCCTGAGAAGGAGAACAGATGTTTACTGACTTACACAAACACTTGCAGGTGCCATGAAGAAAAGAATACTCAGTGAGAGTTTCTGAATTTCAGAGCGTTTAAGTAGAGAGAAAAGTTAAATGCTTCAATTTGTTCACAGAGGAATATCCTACCACATTTCTGTAAGACACAGATACCTTAAGAGAAAGTTTCCTTAATCTGGAAGAGCACACATTAGAGAACCAGCAATGTTTTAACAAGAGTCACAAAAACTATAATTGACAAAAAGACTAAAAAATGGACACAGTTAAAGATCTGATGAGAGTACAGCTGACAAGAAACCTGGTTATTTCTGTGACATATAACACTTCAATAATCAGAATATCAAGTGATGGCCCTGTACCAAAATACATTGAAACTTCAGAAATTTCATATAATCTCTAGAATAGAATAGTTATAGCATTTACCCAAATATAACTTTCTTTCTTACATAGGTTATTGTCAGGTTGGTTTACATATAACACCCAGTGCTCATCCCAACAAGTGCTCTCCCCCATGCCCCCCCTTCCCCTCTCCCTACCCAAATGTAACTTAAGACTTATTATTAGACAGTGCTTCCTTTATTTCCATCAGTCTTAATTATAGTTAGCAGAATTTTAAACTCTTAGAAATCTTAGTTTCCAGTGAAAACTAAGTAGTAACCAATTGTGAATTGTCACACCAGAATTCTTTAGATGGCAAACTTATGGATACATTTAAGCAGCAAAGCATGTTTTCCAACAGATTTAAATATCCTTATTTTCTCTTCAATAAGAAGCCAAAAACCACAAACCTACTTTCAGTAATGAATTCTTCACCACTACAGCCTATTTGGAAAAGATCTAGATGTCAATGGATTCAATCCCATTTATCATGCAAGCAAAGCTTTAAAGTTTCATTACTGAAGAATGAAAGCTATCTTTTTTTTTAATGTTGTATTTATTTCTGAGAGAGACACAGCGTGAGCAGGGGAGGGTCAGAGAGAGACGGAGAAGGATCCCGGCTCTGAGCTAGCTGTCAGCACAGAGCCCAATGTGGGGCTTGAACCCACAAACCATGAGATCATGACCTGAGCCAAAGTGAGACGTTTAGCCAACTGAGCCACCCAGGCGCCCCCAATGAAAGCTATCTTAACAATTACCCCTGAAATTTTTAAGACAGAATTAACTATCATTTTAAGTCATCTTTTTGTTGACAAATTGCAGATATAACATGAGCTTATTTGACCTTCAGCAAGCCTAGATAGTATAAAAGTTTCATATTTAATGCTGAAAACTTTACAGGCATGTCTATCTTAATTAAACCCGCAAACTTAAATTAGCTTAAACACAGAATATTTTCCACCTGCATCCACTTAAAAGTCGATCAATTTGTTCCTCACTGTCAATTCTTTTTAAAAAAACTTTTAATGTTTTATTTATTTCTGAGAGAGAGAGACAGCATGAGCAGGGTAGGGTCAGAGAGACACAGAATCTGAAACGGGTTCTAGGATCTGAGCTAGCTGTCAGCACAGAGCCCGACACGGGGCTCGAACCCATGAACCAAGAGATCATGACCTGAGCTGAAGTTGGATGCCTAACTGACTGAGCCACCCAGGCACCCCACCTCATTGTCAGTTCTTACCTGGGACACTTGTAGGGAAATCTGAAGTGGATGGCCCAAGGGGATTACTCTTCACTCCTTGACAGTGAGGGTAGAAGGAGGAGCCAATGCTGCCAGAGGCAGAGGATGGTATAGGAGCCAGTTATACAGGCTGAACCCATGGTGGGGCAGAAACAGAAGACAGAAGGGGCAAAGCATAGCCAGAAGGCAGAGAAAGTGGGTTCCCAGTTCTAAACCTTTTCGACTGATGAGCAGCCACCATGTTCTTTCCATCAAAGTGGAAATATGTAGTCCGTGTTAGGCCAGAGAACACAGGGAACTTTTCTGAAACAAAGAGGGTTTGGGCAGCTGCTTGGGAATATTCCTTAAAGTCCCTGTCCTGAGGTAGACTTACCAGAGACTGTTGGTTCTAATTATAGACATTAATCTGGGAAATGAATGAGGGAGAAGCCCCCACAAATAGCTAGAGTAACCTGGGTCTACTAAGAGGAACAGTGTGAGAGTCTGCCTTCCCTTCATTAAAGATGGCTTGTTTTTCCTCCAGCAACCTGGATTTATTTCAAGGAGGCCTATTTAGATCATTATCATCCAATATATCAGAAGGAGGTTTACTATAGCCAAACACATTCGAGAAAACAGTCTGCAAGAGGCCCTTAGGTTGGGGTCCTGATTTAGAGACAAAAAGGCCTGGACACAGGGGATCACTGACATTTTCCCCGCTTCCTGCAGGAGACATCTAACCTATAGATCCTACTGAGGCCATGCTGTGCTACAGGAGAGCAGCTATTTCTTAAAGTTTGCAATCCGAGTTGTTTCCAGTAGTTAAAAGGCATCCCAAAGGAGAGTCCTTGGGAACTGAAAAAGAGAGAAGGTCCATTACCAAGAAAATTCTCCTAGACTCAAAGGTGGTATCCCACACGCAGGATATGTTGGAGGTTCCTGGTGTCAAAGGGACCTGAGGCATCTCTCAAAATTGCTGTGATCACTACCTGGCCTAACGACCCTGTGGGAGGGAGGCCAGCCCTCCTCCCAGCCCCTCCCCCCACCACTTCCATATTGCCTCCTAGGCTACAATGGATGCTGGCATATGGACCGAATTTTCCTTGCTAAGAAGGCCATACCATAAAGGCTAGCTGTACCTTCGCCTGTCTTGCTGAGAAAGTCACGCTGAACCTTGGCTTGCCTTGCTGAGAAGGCCATGAATAACCTGCCATTTATAACCCATGGAAAACACTGGAAATTTTTTACAAGGTGAAATTTCCTAATTCTGTAGTTTAAGTAGTTAGAGGGCAATGATGAAAAATGGTAAAGATAGAAGTCCATCATGAT